CCGAATATAAACAAACTTGTCTGAATTCTTATAGTACAATGAGGATTCAGAAGACTGCACATGTGTCATTTTCATTACATCATTTAAGATGATCCTAGGAACACCTGATAAAATCGGTGTTGTTGTGTCCTTGACAACATCCGATTGACACCTTTTTATCCTGGGCGGCCTGTCATCCAGTATAATATATTCTACTAGTTTTCCTGCTGTTAGGCTACCGGACTGGTAGAATCCTCGGGGACAGATTGTCCACCAGCAGAGATTCCGGTCCGGTGGTGATAAATAAAGGCAACAGTAGTATACCGCTGTTCGAAAACTCATAAATCGATAGAGATAAAAACAAATCCGGGTTACAAACTAAAACTGAGGGAAACGCATCAAATATAAGAGGAGAACAACGACACAACAAAAACACAACATTCAAATGTAACACACACAGAAACAAACTATAATATAACAATGGCCATTTTCCTGACTTGGTACAGGACATTTTAAGAAAAAAATGGTGGGTTGAACCTGGTTTTGTGGCATGCCAAACCTCCCGCTTTTATGGCAACGTCAAACACAACACCAAAACGACAACATCACATGACAGGACCACAATACAAATAAATGGGAGAACATATAGGACAAAGAAACACACGAATGATAGCTAACAAAAGGTACTAGGCTTAAAATTCAATACGCCAGACGCAAATTTTGCAAACAGTAAATTTTATAAAATGAATATATAATAGATATACATGATAAAACCAAAGTGGGGACTAACTACAGAATAAAAACGGATACGTTACATAAAACAACTTAATCCAACACATAAAATACACAGCAAATTATCCAAAGCCTCAACGCACAAAGTGACGTCACATTTGAAATTCTAAAACAACACACAAAGTGACGTCACATTTGAATTTGTAAAAATATTTCCCAAAAATAAGATAGGATTAGGATTGATTAAAGATTAGATTTGTAATACTGACATTACATTTATTAATAACAATGAAAATTACAATACTTATTAATATCAAATGGTAGTAATTAGATAATTAATTGTATTATCTAGCTATGTCGGTGTTTCTTCTGAATCAAACTGTAAACCAAATATATCGTATAAATTTCCTTGAACCAAACTTTTACTGGCTATGCAGAATTAGGTACCCATGTGTTTAGTAATGTTTATACTTTTTTCTAGAAGGACGTTATGCATGGAAACATTATAGTTCAAGATTATACGTACTTTTAACTTCAAACCAGTATCATCACACGAATAACAAGTATATGAATGCTATTTAAAATATTAGGGTTACAAATAATTCTGTATATACAAAAAGAATACTGAAAGGCAGTGTTTATTTTGCCGGCACTGGCAAAATAGCAAATTTGCTATTTTGCCGGTTCTGATTAAAATATCCTTATTCAAACCGGCTAAATAGCCTATTTCTATAGAAATGGCTATTTTGCCGGCACCAGCAATATAGTGAATTTGATAATTTGTAGGTTCTTTGTGAAGAGTGAAATTTAATATTTACTTTTGAAAAGTACTATGAAAATGTTCACTGTCAACACGAAAGAATCAAATAATTATGGATGTACCAGTAGTTAAATAAGTAAACAGCTAAAGCTACATCATTTGAGACGCATATAATCATTTAAAAACATTTATCAGTCAAAGTATAAATAACTATTAATAATGTATAGCAAGAATAAAAAAATTATCATCCATTTGTTGCAATGAAATCATATCTAAACATTTAATGGTAATTATTTCTAAAATCTAAAAAAGTCTAATGTTATGTATGCATTAGAACAAAATCTCAGATTTATTTTAACTGTGTGTTATCATGGTTATAAAGAAAACTAAAAGTTAAAAATCTCATTGAATCATAAATTTAATAAAATATTATACACTATAACAAAGTCAATCACATAGCTTCAAAAATCAAAAATATTTAAATTAAACTGGCTTTTGAAATAATTGTCAGTTATTTGAATTGCATATGTGTAACAAAATAGTTTTTATAGAAATAGGCTATTTTGCCGGCTTGAAATAAGATGTTTTAATCAAAGACTGCAAAATAGCCACTGCCATAATGAAAACATAAAAAAGAAGTACAAAAAGTAATTAGTCAATCAATGCTAAAGCAACCAGGCCTAATGGTGTATAACCGACCTAATTTGAAAATGTCTGTGTTGAGCGATACCAATACTAAAGTGATTAATTCGATTATATCTCCATTTACATGTAGGTCTGGCGTTATATTCCTTCATGACTTACAATCGAATAAAGTTTCATTAATGTGCATCTGACTGCGACTGGGGGACGTTGACAAGACACATTAACAGACTGGTGAACGGTTGGATGGAAGAAAGAACAAATATTTAACCAAATTAAAAACTCTAAATAAAACTGAAATAAAGAGTAGAACAAACAAATATGATGTTTAGTTAATTAATTACGATAAGAGTAATATGAACGGAAATCCCTTAATTGTTTATTGTGTTTTTTGAATTTAAGCATTGTTGAATTGAAATATATTCGAATACATAGACCAAAACGGAAAGCATGTACTTGACCGAAAAGCAATAGCTTTCATTAAATTGTTCTGGTTTTATAATTAGAACATGACCTTTTTATGTAAATTTTGATATTTTAAACTTGTTTTTGTTTTATAGCATTGTCAACATGAATATTAAAACAAAATGTCAGCTTTAAAAAAAGACAGAAATCATTGCATATTCAACCGTTTTTAGATATGTAAGCTAATATGCCAACATTTAGCTGTGTATACAAAATAACCCCTATCTTAAAGTTCGTGTTGAGAACGAAACGTTTTTATGGTATACATATTTTGGATCTACTTTGGATCTTATGAAATTATAAACACGATTAAGAAACCCAAGTTTTAACTCCCTACGCATTACATTTTTAGATCAACAAAGGATAATTGGTATTAGGGGCCAAGGGCTGTGTGGGCCCGATTCTACTTTCAAAACAAATTAGTATAACGAATAAAACAATGTGACTAACGTAAATATCGTGAATCGGACGATGCAAGTCAGTTCAAAGCGAGATAACACGAATCTGCCTGCAAAAGATTGCCGGTATGAGTTCATGACCGGAAATCTTACTGCTTATCCGAACAATTTAAAGTTGGCCGCACGCTAACAACGGAACAACAATTAAATAACGGCTTTTGATTGATACTTTGATGATGTTTATGTGTGGCAAGTCTTATTATTATTATCAGTTAATCTAGGATTAAGTGACATGGATTTTCTATTACGGCATTTCATACGCATAATAAAAGCCGACAATACTAAATAACTCTGACACTGCACACGATGTTGGTACAAATTCTAATAATCAATGGTCGAAAAAAAATTAGTGCAATATCCTTGAAAATTGAGAAAAATGATATTCAAAATTGAAATATAAAAAATATAACACTTGATTACCTCTATTTTACGCAAAAACGGCATGTCCAACAGTTTAATTTTTAGATAAGAGTTGGGTGTATCCGATGTTTGTCAAAGTTGAAATGAATATTGCACCTGTTATGGTTACTTTCATGTTTAAGCAAAATCAATAATACCGAAAGTGTTAACCGGAAAATGTCATGTTTGAAAGCGGTTTATGTCCATGCATATAAAAGGTAAGCTTACATCGGGGTTTTGCATTTAAATCGCGAATTCGTTTAAGCTGAGAAGAAAATTATTCATAGTTTAAAAAGAATATTAACAGTAGTCTTGGTTCATAAGATTTTCTTGCCGGAAACATGAGTATAATCACTACAAAAATGACTAAGTCATTGTATAAACTAACAAGCTGTAACATTTGTGGTTTTTTCATTAATATAATGTATTAAATGAATAATAATTTGACAAAGTTTCTGGACTATTAGTTAACAGAATTTTCTCATAATACAAGTCCATATTTGTTCAAAGTCTTCAAGTCATCATTCATTTTTTTCATATTAGCTAATATTACCCTCAGGCATCAGACCAGAAGCGGGAATAAGTTCGTACAGAAGCGAGACCTTTTAAGTAATTTAATTTCATTGGTCTATAATAATTGATAAATGATATTGTTAATCAGGTCATGCTATGTAAAAATTATCTCGTAGTCTTTTGGATAGACATTTATTTTTCTTTCCTAAAAACTAGATATTTTTTCATAGTTAAAACCTGTAAAAGGTTCATTAGAGTTTATTGTTCCGATTTTCCTACTATATACGTCCGTATATTTCTCATAGCTGTCGATGCATGTCTATTGATCTCAGGTATGGTACCCGGGGGAGATGTTTTCAATTCTAGTTTTTGAGACCGTTTACTTGGTTTGATACAAGAGAACAGTGTTTCAATCCATGTTTATTGGCATTTAATCCAATGCGATTTTGAAGCTTGTATACATGTATCATCCTTTTAACTGTAATGATTTTTTCTAGATTTTATTTATAGATACTCTGGGAAGGTATATTGTCAGACGAATCCTGGCGAGAGTTAGAAAATAAATTAAATAAACAGAAATGTTTTATAATTAATGTTGATACACTAACACTAGCATACAAGCATCAGAGGATTACGATCCAGAACGAGTACTACATTGCACCGTCCAGGAATGGTCCCTATCGAACTCCACCAAGAACAGGGAACTGCTCTTGTTAAAGTACATATTATTCAAATTAATTCACTTATCAAATATAAGAATGCACGCTTGCAACGTTCAGTGGTTGTCGTGTGTTGCTATATATAATATTTTTGTTCCTTCAGTGTTTTGTACTTAAATCAAACCGTTATATTTTTCTCGTCAAAATACTCGTAATATATGGAACGTCGTGTAACGCTCACTGGTAACAACATCGTGTGCAACACCTATCCATTCTGTTCTTCTGAATGTCAAAATACTTTATCCAATTAAATGAAAGAGCTTTGATTTAAAACAAAACTGAAAAATCATATTTGCCAAGCTACCATTATGTGGAGAACAAAAGCAAAAGAGACAAAATTGTAAGTCTGTTCTTTAATATTATCATGATACATTGTCATTTAAACATTAAATTTTGTCGCTTTAAATAATACCCATACTTTCTTTAAATACTTTCATATAAACAAATCAAGTCATGACATGTCTACATTGGATACTATTTCTTCAATTCCGTGTCTAGAAGTCAAATATTTCACATTTCCTATATTTTCAGAGGGATGGTTTCTTCTTCATTTGCACTTTCGAGTTGTCATTTAACATGTTCAACGTCTGATATGATATCCTGTTGGGTTTTAAATGTCTATTTGTCTGTCCTGTTGTGATTCAATAGCCATATTTGGCTCAACTTCAGTGAGCATTGACTCGTTTGATTCACATGGTGATGCCTCGTTGTTGTCTTTTTGACAGCATTTGAGACCTTAAAATAAAAAAAGAAGATCTCACTACTCACAATTACGACGTTAGCATATACTATAGTTTTCATTTCACTTTAAGTATAGAATTTTGGATTGGGACATTTACAGTGTAAGACATACTAATCCAATATTGTATGATATATTTTGACCTATTAATTTTTATGAACGGAGTTTTAACAGAAGTAAGACCATGTTAACAAATAACTTATTTCACTTTCGGTTTTGGTGGGGTATTTGTTTTTCAATATTAAGTTCATATTGAAATTGTTTGGACAGTTGTCATTTCGTCGTTTTATATCCAATCATAGGGTTGTCTTTTATCGTTGACGTATGGTATTTGACTTTCTTTTGGTGTTTTCTTTCTGTTTCTTTGTATTCAAACCAAGTTTATCTATGTGTTATTTTTACAAAACATTCGAAGAAATGAAAACAGTTCCTCGTTGGAGTGCTAATAATTTCTGTAAATGAAACATATTCATAATATTAGCATTTTTTTTAAGGAGTACATGTATGTATCAAATGGTCGTAAAACATCATCATATTTTGTAAATACATAAACTAAAGTTATATGACCTCAAAGACGTATTTTCTTGTTGAATAGTTAATATACTCAATTGATTACAAACTAAAATCAATCAGATAAAACAGAAATACTTTTCTTTAAAAGTTACGAAAAAAAAACGATTCACAAAAAGTAAAAAAAAAGTGTGACACAAAAAATCAAGAGAAAGAATTCAAATAATATGAATAAATTAGTTATTATGTCTTTTCAGTGATACTCGGGGGATAAAATATCATGTATTTTTATGCCAGCGCCGATGTCCAGGTTTCTGAGCTGGACTAATAGTCTACAAGAAGAGGAATCGACTAATAGCAATAACGATTTAACTTTACCAACACCAGTGATGATGAGTAATCATATATAATAATATTGTTTATATATAAATATTAATAGAAATATTCACGCCTTTTTCGTTTTTTTTGTGTATTTTTAATGCGTATAAATAGGCTACATTTATACTTGTGTATTACGTTATTTAGTTGGGAGACTAATGCTACTCTGTGACACATTACATTGCAGCATACATGTATGATACTGGCAGTATTAAGATCAAATTACCTTTTGATGTTGCAAGTAGATAAGCTACTAGAAATCCCAGCATGATGCCTAAAGCAATAAAGGCATAGTATCCTACAATAGATAATTGATAATATGATATCCTATCATGTACTACATTATAACAACTACTAGTAACTTTTTTTTGACATTAAAACATAACAAACTACGACAGTGACCACTACAAAATGTACGAAAAAAAATCGTATAGCCGTATAAACATAGTTTTCTATCAAAAGAAATGTTTCTCATAAATATGACGATCTCTTGATCGACAAAAGTTCACAGAATAGTCGAATAGATTAAATATTGACCGTAAAAAATGAAAAAGAATGCAATAATAAAATCTCTAAATGAAAAAATAAAACAAAAAATAAAACTTACGTACATCAAAAGATTTTATACAACATTGACATCTTTGTAAGATATATAATCTGTGGCAAACATATTCGTGAATAAAAACTTGTTTGATATTTGAACATTGATAAAAAAGATCTCGAAATAATGTTATACAGAGATATTTGCACTAAATGGAAGAAATTTAAATCACTTTTAAAAGCAAATATTCTAAATGTTTTTTTTTCTAATTCATGGGACAAAAAGACAATGGGCCTTGTGCCTTCTCATTTGGATTTTTCTTTGACTGCATATTGTCGAACTATGAAGTATAATGCGCAACGTTTTCAAATTCTTTAATTTCTAATGTTCATTAGCCTCAGAATGTAAACCGAAATGAGGATAAGATATTATTTATTTTGACATATCGGGGCCTTTTATAGATGATTATACAGTAGGTGTGTTGCCCATTATTGAAGATCGTACAATGACGTATAGTCGCTGTTTATAATACACGTAATGTTGACTCTCACTGGTGGATAGTTGATCAATTGCATCCTTATCCTTATTTTGTCATGCGTTTTGCATTAAACGTTTCTATCTACAGGCTTTTGATTTTTGGAAAAATGTGACATATGATAATTGCTATTGTCTTTCCTGTCTCTGTTTTGATTGCAACGAGATGTCAATAAGCCCTTTGTTTAATTATGAGTCCATTTGTCAAATAATTACCTGAACAGTCAACTTCTCTTATCCCAATTAACGGTGGTAAAGAAATCAAAACAATTGTCAGCATACATAACATAACAAGTTTAAAAACTGAAATCAAATGATAACAAGTAAAATAATAAGGTTACCTAACATGTTAACAATGACTTCGGAATAAAAATTGAAAAGAAAGAAAGTTGAATATCTATTCATTTTAGCTATTCAATCATGTATGCACATTTTAATATTAATGAAAGCTTATGATAAACAATTTTTCAATTATTCATCGACACGTTGTACTGTCAATAAACTTTGTGGCGCATGCGCAATGCTGCACAAGCCGATAACTTACTTTAGCTGATATATTTTCATTACTGTTGCTTATTAAACTTACAGTTAAAAATACTAAAATACAAATATAAAGTCGTCAAAACATTGTTAAATACCACGCATTGAACTAGTAAAGGATTTTGAACATATACAGACTTCAATATACAGTAAATGACGCATATCCTATTTCTCTTATTCTTATACACGTGGTTGAATGATTATAGATGAACATACCTAATAAACAGCTGTTATTTGTGCAAGGAAAATTGGCTTTGCATTTAACTTCTACTTGTTGGCCTAAAGATAAAAAATAGAAAAGAAAATAATGCTGAAAATAAACATTTAAAATCTTTTCATAACATATTTAGAAGATTGTTTGTTGTCCTTTTTTTACATATCTAACATCGTTGATTATATGCACTTTACAAGTTGTTATGAAAAAGAGCTGTATCATATTCACACAGCCAAGTAATCCATTCCTCAAGTTAACTGCTTTTACCATTCCTCAAGTTAACTGCTATATTTAAAATACTTGTACCATTTGAACACTGTTTAATTAACATATAATTTAAAACATATAAAATTATGATACATAAGTATGTGTTGACATTCGTTAACCGATTTCACATGTTTCATGATATATCTCTGAAAATATTTCATGGAGACAGATATACCTAGTGACTCAACAATGTCGATGCACTGATCAATTGGTTTACGCACCCTCTTGGCACATTTTGCTACAATAAATAATAAAATTTATTATGCCGTTGTTTATGCTGTGCAGAGATCATTTAAAGGCAAACCAATTTATCAACATATATACTTATCAGTTATGAAAGCTTCGATGAATGAAAATATAAAAACGGAACATTACATACTAAGTTTTACACCAAATCCGTTGGATGTGTAATGATTGGTACATTAGTCTGAGAGAAGATTATTAATGTATAACTTACAATTAGTTTTGAACTAGCTTTCAGTAACTTTTAACGGTAAATAGTGTCTTTTGTTTTTATTGTGTTTCGAACCGATCTATTTAGTTAAGTCACTTGCAACCGATAGTGACAATCAGTTTCGAATGTTATGTTGCCACACCACTGTCCCAGGTCAAGGATAAGGTTAAGCGACTCACAAAGATTTGTATCCCATACACATTCTTTTTTTTCTGTTCCAAATCACAAACCCGTATTTTCGGGACTGTAGTAGGCTGATACATATGTAACTACAATATTATTTTATTTTTTGTAAATTGCATTGCTATAAATTAAGCCGTTTAATTTGTCGTTTGAATCGTTTCGTATTAATTCTGCTGAAACCTTTTCGAGCTGACCATACGGTGTGGGTTTTCTTATTGCAGAAAGCCGCACGATGGTCTGATATTGCTTATATCCACTTCATTTGAACTATGTTAGATAGTGGTCTCATTGACAATCATACCACGCTTTTTGTTATACTAACATAAATCATTGAGATCATATGGGAATCTTAAAAAATTAGGAATGTTTCTTCTATTTTATATTCTATTTAAATAGATAATTCAAATATAATTTGACGCACTTATTTACAAGCCACAGGCTGTACATTCAATTCTATTATGTTAGGACTATATGCGGTAAATATATAATTGCAACCACTAAAATAAAAAGAAAGAGGAATGACTCGCCATACTTGTTTTATATGTAAATGAGATATATGTACAGGTCATCCTTTCATAGTAGTAAATCTTATCAGATTTCTGCTCTTTTAAGGAACGTATTTAAATATTTGAATGAACATTACAATAAGTGCTACACATGTTACGATAAATTCCAAAAAAAATATTAACATCATTTGATACTGACAGGTTAATACACGCCTTTGTATTCTGCATTTATAGTCTAGACTGGGATCTATAATGCTTTACTTTTACATATTGTGACTTATATGTAGAGTTGTCTCATTGGCACTCATACCAAACTTCTCATATCTATGATCAAAGGCAACAGAAGACTTCAATACTAAATAAAAAATAGTAATGTCAAATGCAATTTATCGAATGTCTTACTTTAAGTGTTTCTATAATTGTGGTATTTTTGGCAATGGTATTTCAAAAAGGACAGTTATAGGTTGCAAAATATGGCGTTCTTTGGGACCAAAACCCCGTTTTAACAGCGTTTGTCTACTACAAGAGTACCTATAAATATTGACAATGCAATTTCCCATAGGAACTCCTTTTACGGCTAAAACTGTACCACTTTTACTATGAAGTTTTGAAAAAAATCATATCCTAGAATGGAAAGTCATATGCACTACAATTTTTTTCAAAGATCAAAATATAGGGCTGGGCGGCATATTTTCAACGTGTATATGCCCCGAACTTCTAAGAGATTAAACTAACACTAAATTTCTTAACTATCCCTACCTTGACTGTAGGATTACCACAGATTTCTATATAGACAATATGCATATGTATATTTACTGGCAACATTCCCAAGTTATGGCTCTATGAGATGAAACCTAGAGATCATAACTGGGAACCAGTATGTAAACAAAATTAATTATCTATGAATATTCTATATCTCCCCAAAAGAGGCGTGGTTTGAGAAACAGCTGTATTTACAAAGCGCAACCTATACAAACATTGTTTCCAATAGAAAACTCTCTAAAAACACTTTTTCTCACATTAATACTTATTTATCAGAATTATAGCCTTAAAGAAATCACTGCATAAAATCTAAGTTTTCTTTTACTGTTCATTTTTGAGAACAAGATATTAATTATTGCCAGCTTTCCCTATTTGCATGTTTTCTGATGTGAAATGCCTAGAACATGTTTAAAACTGTTCTGATAACATATTGAAAGCATTTCAGAACACTGTAAATATTATGTTTAGCAGTCAATCATTCCATCATTCAAGATTATATAAAGTATCAAATCCTGCCTGTGTCTCCAGTCCACATTTTACTGTATGCCTATTTGTCAATGAAAGTTCACAATTTCTGCCTCAAATGGTAAGTTAAGAATTCTTGTCACAACAGTATCATCTCTAACCATATATCTGACACAATTTAGCAGATATATGAGCTAGAAATGTAAAACAAAGCCATATTTGCAATAGTTGTATGTATGCAGATACCAGTCTGATGTATAAATTCACTTGAAATGTTATAGAAATGACTGCTAACATCTAATTTTTTGCATAACTTCCAAGCAGAGTTATTGTTTTCTATATAAAGACCTTTAAAATCATAAAATCATAGCATTTACAAGTTAAATTATTTGTTTTATGACCAAGGGGGTAGGCAATTTTCTCTGTTTTTTGCCCCTGGGGCCTCAAATTTCCTAAATTATTCTGCTGTTTCTAGCAATATGGAATATTTAGTACATATTCAGGATAGAACACACTATTGTAAGTTTTGTTGAGATATTTTTGTATTTCTAGCTTGTGTTTTGCATGCCGCGGTGACAAAAAAGCAGATTTCGGCGTTACGGCTTACTTTTGGGTTATTGACAGGACAAAAACACCCCACCGATAATATTCAGGAAGGATCTATGAGTTTCAATGACTGCGAAGAGTAAATATAAGCACTTTAAACAACTTAACTTACATATATGCATATATTATGAATTTATTTTGCATTCAGGGCTTTAAGTAAACTATGCATACTGTAAACTGTGCATTTATGCTGAGTCATCAAAGTTAAAGCCTAGGATTTTCTCAATCTTTATGAAATATTTATCAAACTTCATATTTGAGTTAATTTCTTTACTCTTTTTTCACCCAATATAGGTTGCATTTCTGTAAATATTGACAATGCTATTTCTCATAGGAACTCCTTTTACGGCTAAAACTGTACCACTTTTACTATGAAGTTTTGAAAAAAATCATATTCTAGAATGGACAGTCATATTCACTACAATTTTTTTCAAAGGTCAAAATATAGGGCTGTGCGGCATATTTTCAACGTTTATATGCCCCGAACTTCTAAGAGTTTAAACTAACACTAAATTTCTTAACAATCCCTACCTTGACTGTAGGATTACCACAGATTTCTATATAGACAATATGCATATGTATATTTACTGGTAACATTCCCAAGTTATGTCTCTATGAGATGAAACCTAGAGATCATAACTGGGAACCAGTATGTAAACAAAATTAATTATCTATGAATATTCTATATCCCTTAAAAGAGTCGTGGTTTGAGAAACAGCTGTATTTACAAAGTGCAACCTATGGAGTCAATATTCGAATCAAAAATATTTTAATTGCAAAACAGCGAAGAGTTACCTTTATGAAAACAATTAATTATTTGGAAGACCACAAAGGCTATGATAACTCCAAAAAATGTCCATGCTGTATTCTTTTCCCAGGAACAATAGTCTGCAAAAGGTAATATTACAATTTACTTGAACATAGATATTCATTTTTTTTATTCATATCATTAATTTAAACAAAAGAAAAAAACCAACAACAATAACAACAAAACACTAAAAAAACCAAACAGACGATACAATATATACTTAATACATTCTTTGATTTTTTTAGATAAGTTCTTTCTTCTTGACAGGTTCTGTGAGTTGATGATTAAGTTTGAACTTTTCCTTAATGAATATTTCTTAAATGTTTTTCAGTTACATGAAGTGAAAAGCCTAATATGAAAATTTATAAAAAGATGACAAACGAAGTATTTTGTGTAAATTTAAACAATACAACAAACCAACTTATATTTGTGTTTATTTTTTTCGCGAATACTTTTTTTTGCGTTTAGCATGTTTAGTTCCTTCTTATCGACGTTGTTACAATTCTTACTCGTGACTTAAAGATACGAAGAGATCCTAGTTATATTCCTGACGATTATGGTCATTAAATCCTGATTTTTCATCACGGGTTTTTGGTTCGATAGCTAACTCTCTTTCAAGGAAATCATAAAGGAAGAGAAAAACATGTAATGTAGCTTTAACTGAGAGATTACTCAATATACATGTGCTTCTAGAAAGTTGAAAAGTGAATTCATCTCTTACTGTAAAGAGCATTTATCTAACAACCAAATTGTTGTAACTTTCTTGGCATACGGTGCGAATAACTTTAATAAATTGATGCGTCCAAAGTGAAAGTTAAGGTATTTTTCAAACGTAACCATAAATGTTGTATCCATCATTTCTAGTTCAATGCGATCAACATGGTCACTATAATATAGTTTACATTATTTTGAATTTCTATGTGAATGAACATCACCTACATAGTCGAAGGTGAATTTTTAGAATAACAGATTTTTATTTTCATTCATACGAACAAATGAACATGTTAGCTAAATGTATATTTCTTCCTTTTTAATTCAAATTGGAGTTTGTTATTTTTTGTTATTAAATTATTTTCGCAATTTAAAATGCAATACAAGTGTTTTGTATCTATTTTTAAAGCGTTCTTGATTGAGAAAATTTGATTTATTCGAACGTTTTATATCATCTGTAGATTGGAAAAAATCTTTGGATATATAACATAATAATTTTTATCAATGATTGATACAACATTTTATGATTCAAATAGTAAAGAGATCAATCATTTGCATTTGAATTTTGAAATTTAATGTCTTAATTATTAAGAGATTAAATTTCAAAGTTCAAATGCAAATGATTGATCTCTTTACTTTGTGAATCATACAAATAAATATCATTAATGCAGAAGAACTTCGGATTGATAATCAAACATTTTTACTAAAGACAACAGATAACTACTTGACACAAAACATTGAAATAATCAATGTAAAAACAAATCTGATTTGTTTCTCAAATATAGTATCATTTAAAAAATAAAAGATATATCATTTACAGATGTAAATCATAGCTAAAAAGTCATTTTCATGTTTAAAAGATGTTGAACATCCCAAATAAAGACATCCAATTTAAAAGATAGGCAGGTTATGGTACGGAGATTCTTCTCGATCGCATGAATATCATTGTATACTCACCATGTTTGACTGTTGGAATAGCTGTAATTATGAAAAATAATAATGAATATGTTCGTTGTTAAGATAAGCATTTAGTTTAAGTTAAGATTTGGAATGATTTAGGGCTTGAACTATCGTAAAGACACCTGCGTTTCGTTTAATATGTTTCCCTTTAGATGTATGTGTTTAGTTTGAAAACTATCCTAGACACGTATAAAACAATTATCCGTTTTAAAAATTGAATTCATATATGATTTGTATAATTAGAACCCTGAAGGATGATTGATTATAAGTACATTTGATGATGTGTTTACTGTAGTTTATTTTTTGATAAACTGTGTTCACAGGACTACTTTCATAACTAATATAAACAACACAATTGCTTAAGTTTGTTTAAACAAGGATGCAATCGTTGAAATGCCTCGCGTATTGTACTAGCCATAATTAAATTCATTTAAAAAGTCTACAATAAGTGGTGGGGTTTTCTATGTTGTGTTTCGACAACTGCTGTTTGTTCGTCTCTTACCTTTTGGCCATGGAGGTGCTAGTTTATTTTCGACTTTAATGTCTTTTTTGATATCTATCGCCTCTCTTTATCATATAAACCTAACATTAACAATGATCCATGTAAAATGACGTTGAGATGAACTTTGCCAGACGAAAACTTTTGTCTTCTTAACATTATATAATTGAATACGTTTAATCTGTTACTTACAGTATCTGAGAAACAGAACTAACCATTAAAACTTAAAGTAGACCAATGAACTATATGGAAATGAGGTCAAGGTCAGATAAATTCTTCTAGACGGAAATGTACACCTTTCAATGATTATATTCATTACATATAGTGGAGGATCATAATAGCTCAACATTGACCAAACACAATGAACAGAATGACCCGTACATCTCAAAACCATGTAACTACAAGTTAAAGTTGACCTACTGATAATAGTATCACGAAACTTTAACTTTGATCACTGATCCGTGAATTGAGGTCAATATAAGGTGTACCGCCGTGTAGAACGGAGTTTAGTATCCCATTAATTTGATACTGTTGTCCAATAATTCATAACTTGTAAGAAATGCACGTGAAAAAAGCAGTTTTCTAAACAGTTGATGAACAATGGTAATGAGGTCAAGGACAGTGGACATACGACGGCAGGTAACTTTGTTACAAAAGGCATCTGTACACACGATATGTATCATCCGTATCTTCTACCTTCTAAACTAATTTGTATTTATAGTTTACACCGTCCAGCTTCTGCAGTGCAAAATTAGCATGGATGTGTGTCGCATTTCCCGACTTAAATAACAATCGAGTCAAAATTGAAACTTTTTTTTGGCCGAGGTAAACTAATGTACGAATAGAATCAATTTTTCTTATACCACTACGTCAAGTCCTTTTGAATTCAATTTGGTAAAGTTTACACATCGAGAAAATTTCGAAAAAATGCTTTAAAAGTATTCCTTTTTGATACAGCAAGTAGACGATTTTTGTAGTTAAGTCCATTTTTGTAGTTAAGTCCATTTTGTAGTTTAGCTCATTCTTGGTAATATTCTTTTGGCGTGGTTAGCTGGGTACTTATGCATCCCGCCAATGTTTTGTTGTGCTCAGGTCGTTTTTTGTAAACTTGTCTTTCATTTTTGCTGATGTGTTTAGTCTATATGCCATTTGGTTTTCTTTGTTGAAGTATTTGTTTGGTTTTATCATGCTTAAGACTATAGCACAATGTTGACTGCTGCACCTCTATTTTAGACATTTTTACTTGTTATGTCAGTTTGTTTTGTTCACACATTGTTGTCAATATAATAGAATTTTATGCAACTGTCATACAGGTGAGAGTTTTAACTAGCTATGAAACCAGGTGTAATCCACCATTTTTTCCATAAGGGAATGCCTGTACCAAATCAGGAATATGACGAATGTTTTTCCATTCGTTTGATGTGTTTGAGCTTTTGATTTTGTCATTTGATAAAGGATTTTCCGATTTTAATTTTTAAGTTCGGTAGTTTGTTTTTTTTTCTTTAAAGACTGCTACTATTTTTAACAGAGATATTAATAGAGGTATTGATTTTATTAATTTTATATTCTTCTATTAAAAATTGTTTACCTCCATATTTTCATAACATTGAGCAATATACATAATTTCTTTTACGTTAAAAAGACAACAGTAGAAGTTCAATTTTCAATTATACGTAAGTAAAACAGACGTCTGTATAAAAACAAAGGCTCTTCAGCATGAGACTATGAAACATTAAAGATAAGATATATCCATGTTGGCCTGTATTTGCAAGGACTTTAACATGCTTAACACCGTTTAGAATCTAGAGGTTATTCACCTTCAGAAAAAAGGACCAAACAGTCAACCATTGTCGATATGAATTGGAAAGAGCCTCGTACGTTCATAAAAGATGCTCTTTCGCCCTATTGTAAAAATTGATGTAAACGAGAGATCTTGCAAAAAGTCACTTGGTTCTTAAAATGATAAGTATCGGAATACTGGTAATTTTTGCATATCACATTACCAAAATGATTTAGAAATAAAAGAAAAATGTAAGTAATAGGCCTATTTCTAGAATTAAAAACAAAACTCAGGTACTTGGAAATCGTTAGTGTTCTCAAATGCCGACAAAGTAGCCAACAATGTGGTGGTTGAACGTTAGTACTACAGGGAAGTTTTTAAGAATGACATACCTAATTCGTCTACATTCAAGGGTCTGCGCCTCAGCGTTAGTCAAATAGTAAATAGTCATGCCCCGACCACAGCTCAGATAGGAGCCTTCTCTAAAAAACGTGTCCCTACTTCCTACTGGCGTCCTAAACTACACTAAACCCGTTCAAATTGCAATTAATATCAGCGTCTAGTAAATGTTCTATAAAATTGAGAATGGAAATGGGGAATGTGTCAAAGAGACAACAACCCGACCACAGAACAGACAACAGCAGAAGGCCACCAACAGGTCTTCAATGCAGCGAGAAATTCCCGCACCCGGAGGCGTCCTTCAGCTGGCCCCTAAACAAATATATATACTAGTTCAGTGATAATGAACGCCATACTAAACTCCAAATTGTACACAAGAAACTAAAATTAAAAATAATACAAGACTAACAAAGGCTAGAGGCTCCTGACTTGGGACAGGCGCAAAAATGCGGCGGGGTTAAACATGTTTATGAGATCTCAACCCTCCCCCTATACCTCTAGCCAATGTAGAAAAGTAAACGCATAACAATACGCACATTAAAATTCAGTTCAAGAGAAGTCCGAGTCCGATGTCAGAAGATGTAACCAAAGAAAATAAACAAAATGACAATAATACATAAATAACAACAGACTACTAGCAGTTAACTGACATGCCAGCTCCAGACTTGACTATCTATCTGTACTGGTTGCAAGTTCTCTTACTTCTATCAAAGAAATAGTCATTAATTTTTGTCATAAATCATATGAAAATAATGGATTTACTAGTAATGGTGGAGTGTCAGCAACTCTTTGATGTTTCGGAAAAATTACGAGCATTTGATAGTCCGTTGATAGTTATAATTTTTGGATTCTGTACAATAGACCACTAATCTTATCAAGCAATTTCATTATTAGATTTAATGGTACTTAACTGAAAAATCTGTTAATATAGAAATAAGAAGATGGTATGATTGTCATTGAGACAACTCTCTGCCAGAGAGAATATGAAATAGAAGATAACAACTTCAGTAACTACAGGACTACCAACAATGAGCAAAACTCATAGAAAAATAGAAAACACCAAAAGTTACAAATGTAGACAGTTTAAAGGAGAAAACTGACGTCCCGAATTAAGTTAAAAAATTAAATGAAACAAAAATTTTGATAAACAGCAACAAACTTCAACTGAATTATAGGCTCTTGACTTGAAACATGCATATACAGAATGGGGCGGGGTTAAACTTGTTTGCTTGCGCCAGCCCCTCTAGTTGTGTAACAGTATGGCATAAGAATATCAATTTAAATGCTGAACTCATTAAATCTATTCAAAGCACAAAAACACTTTTACAAAAAGAAAAAAGAAAAAAAGGTACATGTACATTTCTGAAACATTTTGTGAAATTTACAATAAATAGTGTGAACTAACAGTATATATTCGGGTAATTGATAAAAGAAATAATTTGGTTCAAAAAATAAAAAAAATTCAGCGGTCAGCTATTCGATACTGACTCGATTAATGACATACTTGTATTGTGTAATACGTTGATTAATTTAACATTAAACAAAAAAACTAGGGTTCCAACTTCCTCAGGCAATGACGAACTCTATTAGTTTTTGAGAAACATTTTAAAATCATTTCGTTTCTGACGTTTTTATGTACTAATACATCGATCTGCGAATTCACACAATGTATAAATTGTTTTTATGATATGTGTATTTGCAAGTACACATATCATAAAAGTAGAATCACAAAACTACTTAACTCTGCAGATAATTCAAAACGGAAAGTCCTTAATCAAATGGAAAAATCAAAAGGTAAAACACATCAAACGAATGGATAAAACTGTCATATTCCTGACTTGAAACATACATTTTTTTAAGTAGAAAGTGGTGGAATCCCAAATTACTCTTGAGTATGTGAAATATTTTAAAGGTATGCTTATACAAAATTACGACAAAGTAAATGCAAACACAATTAACAGTATCAAAACCAGGCAGTGTCAGAATAACTCTTAAAATAACTTTATAATTCATAATCAGAAAATATATGGTTTAAACTACAGAAGTACCAATTCATTGACAACTTGGCAAAGGCAATCAAGGGAAATATCAGCCCACCGATACAGTGGCTGTTGTATAAACATATAAACTATTATAGAAATTAATACTCTTACCTTCCCGCAATACGGTGACATTTACAATTGCATTATCAATGTTTGTTCCATGATAACATGTCCATCCGCCATTTAATCTCTTATCGATTCGCCCTCTTACGGTGAGCATTGTGATGTTATGTAGAGCGTCTTGGGTGATGGTGCAATTTGTACTTAAGGAATAACAATGAGGAAATGGTATTGGACTCATACAATATGCTTGCTCTTTGTGGAACTGGTTAAAAAACTTGACCTGCCATGACAATGCATTTACTCTGCATCTGAAGGTAATTTCGTCTTTCATCGCACTCCAAGTAAGACAGACGTTAATATTACAACTATATGTTTCTATAAAGAAAATATCGAATTATAAATGAATGCGGAAGTTCGACAAAATGGTATACAGACATATCGGGAGAGCAGTAAAAACAGTAATGTATATTAAGACAGACAGCCAACTATTCCAAAGCACGAAATAAGACGAGAAACAGAATAATCAACATGACACTACACACCAAATCTAAAAATTGAGAAACGCTGATCCTAACTGTAAATGAAATTTTGTTTACCAAAAGTAAAGATTTATTTTTTATGCTCCAAACAATTTTACCTCTCATGTTTCATCATTCGGTTATAACTTAACTAGCTATAAAACAAGGTTTATTCCATCATTTTCTAAATGAGGAAATGCCTGTTCCAAGGCAGGAATATGACAATAATTATACATTCGTTTGATGTATAAAAAAAGAAGATGTGGTACGATTGCAAAAGAGGGACGAAAGATACCAGAGGGACAGTCAAACTCATAGATGGGGGTGATCTCAGGTGCTCCGAAAGGGTAAGCAGATCCTGCTCAAAATGTGGCACCTGTCGTGTTGCTTACGTTATTACAAATCCGGTAAATAGTCTTAATTCGGTAAGTCACATTCGTGAGAAGGGAAGGGTATTGTAGTTACGACATAAGAAACATATCCGATATCATCTGTGAAACGGTTATTCCATAACGGTCAACCAACTCGTGATGGCGTCCGTAAAATTTACGAAGGGATGATATCAACTTCACCATTTGGAACTCTTGGCAAATGAGACAACTCTCCACAAAAGACCAAATGACACAGAAATTAACAACTACAGGCAATGATACGCTCCATCCAAGTCACAACTTGTAAAAGAAAAACCAATACAGGTCAAAGTACGGTCTTCAACACGGATCCTTGGCTCACACCGAACAGCAAACTATAAAGGGCCCTAAAAAATACTTGTGTAAAACCATCCAAACAGGAAAACGAACAGTCTAAATTATATAAAAAACGAGAAACGAGAAACACTTATAAACCACATCAACAAACGGCAACCACTGGACATCAGGTTCCTGACTTAGGACAGTTGCACAATTTTATTTGTTATTCAATCGAGTTACATGTATGAGAATTGAACATTGGTAAACTGCTATTTATAAAAACTATACCATACCTGTTATATATACTAAAATGATCAAGAGTATTACCAAAACCATATCTGCTGCCTTTGCGAAAGCTATTTCCCTAAAAGTATAATTAAAATATGATAAAAATTCTAAATCTTTACACATTTGGTACAATATAAGATAGACCCAGACATACTCCAATTAAGGTGAAAACGCCCTCTGTAAAGATCATCTCAGTCGATTTAAACGAAGGCCTTTACATTTGGAGATACAAGTATATTGATTATTTAGTCAGAAAGCTCTGATCATATACAATGTTGATAATTCACGAATCCATATTGAGCACAATGAAGTTTATAAAGCCTATCGTAAACATTAATGCAATGTATTATTTTTTTTTAATATTTTGACTCAATTTGAGAATAGAGCAGTTTATGATTTTTCTTCATTTCTATTCCTGTAAAAAAAATGTATAAGCGGTTCATTATGTACGCTTTAAACAGTGTTTTGCATTAACATGTTATTTTTGATGCTAATGCCATTAAGGTAAATAAATTTAATTTTCAAAGTTATAGCGAAAAACTACTTACTGTTTTAAAAAAGCGCCATATTTTATAATACTTACAAACGCATGGAAAGTCATGTAATATTATCGATTTCTTTTGTACAATAAAAACATGAAATAAGGTAAATTTATATGCATGTCTTTTAAATGCATGGACTCCTTTAACCTATTATATATATATGTATATGTTTAACGATTTTTATTATCAGTATAATACACATTGACAAATAGCTGTTTGATCAACAGTTTTATAAGAGTGGAGATTTAATTTCAGTCTTGGTTTCAATCAAATATTACATAATATATTGAGGACGAAAAGGAAAATACCATGTAGGAAACTGACTGCGTATGTACAATATTTTAAACGTTATGTATTTCTTTTGATTTTGTTTAACATTTTTATAATTGGAATGAAAAGAAGTAAAGAAAACATGAAAATTTAATAAAATTCAAAATCAATGCATTAAATAGAATTTGCTTTTACTGATCTAGTAAAGTATTTTCCATAAACAAAATTTCCCCAATTCTAAACTACTTGTAACATTTTTGTCATGTGTTCACTTTTCAGTTAGACAAACCATGGAACCATCCATGAAAAAAACTATGAAACAAGTAAAACATGTATCGTATGAAGCATTGGTCAGTCATTAGTAACTAACAATTTTTTGACTTAAAAGAAGTCATTATTGTTTAAAAGGTTTCAAAGGTAATACACATTTAAAGTTAATTAAGGCGTCAGTAGTTTTTCGATTTTCAAATCTGTTGAATTCATTAGAAAAAGCTAACTCAAGATGACAAATAGAAAACGGATGGAACCACGCGAATTCCAAAAGGATTTAGAAAAGTTCAGACTTTCGTGGTATCTTACAATCTAAGACCGAAAAAGATATCGCTAGAGAGTTGTGACACCAATGCATGGTATCGTGCAACCAATTCGTGATGGTGACAGTAAAACTCATGTAGGGTCGAATTAAGTTTTTTTTCATAAATCTTCTTCGGGGTCATTTCTGTTTATAAAGAATGTATTGTGAACGTCCACGGATAAACTATTTTAACTAAGATTTGTCAGCGCCAAACGTAGAAAGAAAAAAGTAAAATCACAAGTCCGAGGATAATTCAAAACGGAAAGTCCCTAACCAAATGGCAAAATCAAAAGCTCAAACACATCAACCAAATGGTTAGTAACTGTCATAATCCTGATCTAGGATAGGCGTTTTCTTGAAAATGCTGGATAAAACCTGGATTAATAGCGAGCTAAACCTCTCACTTGTATGACAGTCGTATAAAATTTCATTATTTTGACAACGATGTGTGAACAAAACGAACAGACATAATAGGTATAAATGTCAAAAATAGGGGTACAGCAGTCAACGTTGTATTATTAATCACTATAAAAACAAACATTTATCATGACACAATAACACAAAGGCGGGATGTATAAGTACGTCATATGTAACCAAGGAACACAAAAAGGCATACAGAAAAAAAGCATATTAACAAAAACGAAAAACAAAAATACAAAAATTATCATAGAACAATAACACAATGGCGGGATGTATAAGTACAGAGCCATGTCATATATAACCAAGAAACACAAAAAGGCATACAGAAAAAGCATATGAGCAAAAACGAAAGACAAGAATAAAAAAAATTATCATAGAATATTTACACAATGACGGGAAGTATAAGTACAGATCCATGTCAAATGAATATCACCAAAATAACAGACTTAACAGTAAAAGTGATATTGACGAAGACATCAAAAGAACTATAACACGTTTTTAAGATGATAAACAACGTCAATACCCAGAATATATACATCAAGAACATCGTGTATTATTTTTGAAGTTGATCCGGAATATTTATCAACAAGGTCTTGGTACTTTTCGATGAACTTTTACAATTAAACAATTTGAAGTCATCACGTTTGTCAAATATTTCAATTTGAAGTCGTCCATTTTGTCAATATCATTACACAAAACAAACTTTCTACTTTTGGTAGTATCATAATTCTAAAGTATATATTAAATGTTAGCAATAGATGAAATGTGGGGAATTGGGTGACAAAACATAATCAATACTTGCTTCTTATGGGATCAAAAACAGGCTACCCAGTAGGAGTAAACAAAAAGTACCCAGTTGAAAACCTACTAATTGATATCAAACAACTAATCAAGATAATGACTTGTCTCGCATATACATTATATGATCTTAGGTGTATTTATTGTGTGAATCAGTTTGATTTGAAAAGAAATTTGTGTATGATATGAAACAAAGAATTTGATTATATGTTTTTAAAGAAAAAGCTCCAATTAATGAAACACTGTTTCAATTAAGAAAAGGGAATAGAAATGTAAAGCGTAGAAAAATCAGTCGATACGACAAACTTGTAAAAATTGTGATTTAAACTTGTCAAAAGATGATAAAGATTTTAATACTTGTTAAGAGTCCACATTTGATTAACACCAGTAGGTGGATGCATTTACCTCATCGTAAAACTTCTGAACGTCATATAAAGAAAAAAGGGTGGTTAGTATTTTAAAAACATATTTAGTCAAACATCTTGGCTATACAAAAGTTTTGTATTGTCTATGGCAGAAGAATTGATATTCTGTGAACATATTAAGTTTTCATTTCTTTGTATCAGCATAGAATAAAACGTTTAAATGGAAATTCACTGTTATAAACATCATCTTACATTTTAGAATATTAAATCGTGATACAATTATCATTTTGTGTTTTCCCATATCAATTCGCACGTATTATAAACAACTTGAAATTCTGCCATAGAATAAAATATTTAAAGAGAATTATGTAGATTAGTGATAACTAAGAACTCTTTATATTGACAATTTAAAAATGTAGTGAAATTGTATAGGTGTCACTTCAAAAGACACACAAGAAAATGCCTGTACCAAGTCAGGAATATGACAGTTATTATCCATTCGTTTGATGGGTTTGAGCTTTTGAGTTTATTATTTGATTAGGGTCTTTCCGTTTTGAATTTCTCTCGGAGTTCAGTATTTTTTCATTCCAACTTCAATGTTCTCATGTCTTTGGAAAGATTAAAAGCTAACACAATCCATAAATGCATAGATAATTGCAGTTGTATCAGGTACAAACGTCTACATAGAAAGTCATCATTTTACAGCTTCTTTTAACTTGTGTTTAATTTCTTGACTGCGGTTTCAACTCCATTAGGTCACTACTCATTGTTAAGTATAACGTTTGTGATTCTATTTCAATTATCTTAAGTTTGCAAAATCTAAATAATGTCAATGTCAACGTTATCGTCCCGAAAATGTACTACTAATAGTTTGCAACAAAATAATACGATACCTCAAATTCAACAATTGTTTTATGTGCACAAACGGCTAATTTTCATTGAAAAAATATAATCCTTTATTTTATCCAAATGAACTGGTATTTAATTATTGTCCTCCCATATTGCCGACAGATTTTCCGGATGCAGTTACTATAACCATGACATCTCGTTTGAAATTTCGGTGCCTTATTTATACACCCTACAACTGGAAATTGACAGTACGGTTCGACGGGAATTGATGATTACTTACGTCTTTTATAAGTTATTTTGGAACGTTAAGCGTGCACCAATTGATCAATCTTTTTTTGTCGAGAGAATCGCATTCGTATCTGTTTAGGAAATGATAAATATTTGTGAATTATTATAAACATAATAACACTGCTGAAAATATGAGACGGTAGAAAAGAAGACAAGGGAAACGAAAGGGACATTCAACCCCTGAAGTAAAAAAAGAACTAACAACGCCATGGAAAAAAAAAGAAAAAGGAAAAAAAATATATATAACAGTATACAAAACACAACATAGAAAACTAAAAACTGAGAAACACAAGACTCGGGTTCGATGATAACGTTAAAATAAAACGTCACTACAGGCACGAAGATGGCAAACGAGTTTTGAAATATAAGAAGGTGTAAAAGGACTTTCAACATTGGAAAAAAAGAATACTATCAACAAAGGCCGAAAAGATGTCAGCAGTGTGGTAAGAATATTGACTTTCTAGCAAATATTTATATGATGCGTCAATATCTTAGTCTTCATTGTGTTCCTTTAGACTAAAATGACAAAGGACAATTGGATTAATCCATGGATGGCAATTGTTGTGTTATTTGTATTGAAGAAGGCAGGTATGTACAAATGAAAATAAAGGTTTGCAGCTTCAGTTATACATTTAGGTATTAAAACTCACATATATTTCTTTTCAAAATTACAGGAAACATGAATGCATATAAACATAATAAGCTTATTTGAGATATGTGAATCTGATTAAATCTATGTATTTATATGTCCATAGAAAGTAGCGTATATATCACTACTTCTGTATATTTCGACATTCAGAATCATCCAAGTTATTCTTAAAATGATTTATCGATCTACGGCTGCCATTATGTTGTTCAGTATGGTTTCATCAATACAACTTACACCTATTCAAAATTTGTATACATCGTTAATGATTTTTTAACATGTTGAACTCATAGTATAATACGTCTGCTGATAGCTCCACCAGGTGAAATTAGCCTTATATAGCTGTTGCTATTCGTTTTATGTTATAATGTTTTATTTAGATCTTTTGCTTTGAATGTTCCCAATGAAAGTAAATCCAGAAAGCGCTTCGGACGCAGTTAATAAAATGTTGTTTTACTGATATAGACCATGGTCCAATAAGACATTACCGTAATATTTGATCAAATACATTTATTCGAATGCATTTGTGTATAAATCAGTTTTTATATTTACGTAATGGTTTCTGATAACTATGTTCTTTTGAAATCTGTATGTGACAACTCTTTTCGTTGACTAAAATTTATCATTGAATCCACAATTAACATATTGAAATGTTGAAATCCAAAAATGTTCATTTAATATTATATAATTCAAAATTTAAAAAAAGGACACTTACCTCAAAAACCCCGTTGTTATGAGATATATCCAAAGCTAAATCGTAAAAGTCACGAAATAAACTTCGGTTGTGCGTTTTTATATGCATGACGTATTGTTTCGCATGCCATTTATGCGCAAATATTTAATGGGATTTCGCGGAATGTTGTTGAATCATAAACTTATGAAAGAATTCTCTTTTCTAACTTCAATCTCATAATTGTCTGAAATGACTTAAAAATGTGAAAAATGTTGCATATAAATAAACATTGTTGAATTATTATGTAAAAGATTTATTTCCAGACTTTCTACCAAATGTACAAATTTCCAATGAGGTCACAATAAATCGGACGATTAATGTAAATACATTTACATTTATGTGTACATCAGACAGTCCTTTCATGGGATGTACCGTAGAGTTTCTGGTTAATAGATCAACGATAGACGATTTAAGGAATGCAAACAGCACATGTTATCACAAAAATGGTGTGTGTAGACCTGACATATGTAGATGTGCAGCCAATTGCAAAAGTTTTACCTTGAGTGTCATAACATCAACAAACATGACAAACCATATTTTTGGATGCGGTGGAAAGATTGAAAATAGATCGGTCAACGCTTTCTACAGAGTTAACGCCTCCGTTATGTTTGATGGAGAATGTAAGTTTAACATGTTTAACTTTCTTTTTTGTTGTTTTCTCGTGAATTCGTCATGTTCTTTTGAAATTTGATATTTTTGTAGGATTTCGAATAATAATCTCGTAAAACTGCAGCAATTGCAAAAACAAATGTATTATCATGAATCATATGAAACATTAATCAAAATAAAATAAAAAGACATTAATTTGTTAGGGTATTATTGTGATTGTACCAAACATAAATTTAACGGATCAGCGTAGTATTTCGCAAAGGCATGATACTAATTCCAATAAGAAGACGTGCTTTTCAATCAACAATATGACAAATTTACTCTGTAGACTCCAAGCTGAAGACGAAAATGCACGCAAAATGAGAATTCACTAAATTAAAAAAGGAATCAAAAGCAAAGAAAAACAAATAGAACAAAATAAAGGTAAACATTCAACAAAATTTATAAAAAAGCTGATTCAAACTTAGATTCTATCAGTAAATGATGAACGCCAGTTGTTTACTTTGAAATTCTAGATCCAAGTTAACGTGTGTCTCATAATTGATATCAAAAAGTTATATATAATAGTATAAAACACATCAGAAATAAAATTAGACACCCGAACATTTTTTAACCAATGTCCAATTCCAAACGAGGTCAGATCAGATGTGTGGACATGATAAGGGTAACCAACCCTGTCAATCCATACTCGTTTAAATCGTTACACTAGTGAACAAACACAATCAGTAAATGTATAGATCAGACGATTATTCTAATATTCAAAGATATAAATCCACGAAATTATGTCTCTTGTGCGTTGAGGCAGTCACAAACTGTAACGATAAACCAATTTGTAATGCTGACCAGATCAATTTTGATTTTCTTGATTTCTTTTGTTCTTTCTTGTGACCCCTCAGTGGCAGTTTTTGAAGCTTAATTAAAAAAGCTCATAGCGAAACGTATTGATAAAAAATATACGATGGATCAGAAGATATGTTACTGCTAAGAAAAAAGAGGCAACATAGATTAAATGAAGAGTAAAATACACCTTCATGAATGCATCCACATGAAAAGGAAGATATGAAGGGACATTTATAATGTATGCCTCCTGTATTCAGTAATATACAACTGTATATTCCAAACTAATGATAATGAAAATATTAAAAATTATTTTGCTCCTTTTTGTAATATTTTATTTATATTCACATTGCTTTTGAAGATTTCCACCACCAAAAGACAATATATGATTTGATTACTGATGAGACAATGTCCAACAAATCTTATCAAGACCCAAAGTCTCACATTTTTGCTGTTATAGGTAACAATATATGTTTGTTATATATATGTAGATTAAGCTAAATAACTTTTTTTGGAAAATTGTTCATGCTTGTCAGTATGTTTTATTATGTTCTTTCCAAAATAAAAGTTGAATATGTTTTTGCTTTCCACGGATTCTCAAAAGAGAAAAACTGAATCACATCAATAAAAATGTTTAAATAAAAATAAGATAATGATTTCAACAATTCGAAAACCAGAGAATACACATCGAGTGAAATGAAATCAGGTCAAATAAATTCCTTTAGAATTTTAAACTGATTGATGTTTACAAGTTTTTTTTCGTGTTTTACAAAGAAATAAGAAATCTCTTAGTTGTAGCTGTTGTTAAACATAAAAAATAAACAACATAGCCATTTTCATTGAATCCAGTGATGTCTTTATACTTATTTTAACAAAGCTCTCATTTATCTTTAAAAACTATATATCAAACTTGATCATGGAATAGATTACAAGATAACTTTATTCCAAATTTAGTTTCATTTGTATTGAAGTCCTTTATGTGTTTTTCTTGTCAATATATACTTAAAATGTAAGCCCTGTTACATGTTTTAATATGTAACGCACTAAAATTTTATCTGGATTGATATAAGCAAAAAAAGAACACATTATGTCCGTCCTTAAAAATTTCATCAGGTAAATAAAATTGATAAAATTGTTGAGAGCTAATCGTTTAAAGATGAGAGAGAGGGGAAGTCTTAATAATACAGACACAATTGTCTAAATTAAACTTTCCTGAGATAGATATTACCTTGGAATGAGTACAATTTTTAAAACAAAATGAACCAAAAATCTTACCAGTTCATTTACATGTATCAAAATACTGGTTATTGGAAGATGGTTACCTCGATGTTTCCGTGTCCGCCGAGAATGGTATTTAACCAGTGATAATTAAAGCAAGTGATATCATTTTCTTGGTAAACAACACAATTTTATAGAATAAGCTTGATCATGTACGCTCGCGCCCAAATTTATGAAAACCTGTAACTATATCATCAAATATTTATGCAAATGTTTCGACGGAAACAACAGAAACATGCATGCACAATGAATGAAAGGCTTTCTTGATATTGTTACTTTGGTTTATTATTTCATGCCTACCCTAAATACATGTATCTATCATCGAGAATAAAACTTTGTTAGTAGAAATGCAGAACTTCTTTCACTGTTGAGGCATCTGAGTTAATTAATTTTTATGGTTCCTCGGATTTTTGTATATTTGCTATACGCAGACAATTGTTTGATTTTTATTTTATTCTGTTGGAAATGTCGTTTTTTGTTCTTTTTTCAACTATGATTTTCTTTGCCCGTTATGTTTTTTAAAATTTTGTTCATAAAAAACATTGACCGAGTTTTTAAAACCAGTCGAATTTCGAAAGGAAATTCATAAAATTCAATCAAAATCATTTAGAATTATGTATTTCATTCGCATGTTAACGTCTGCTGATTTTCAAACTGATACCGCTTTTCAAGATCTAGGAAATATTGTAAGATTTAATAATTTTTCAGCGGTAGGTTATTTGAGAATTAGATATTCCCTCTAGAAAATATATGATTCACCCCTTTACTCCTCAATCAAACATTTGTCTTGTTTTATTAAATTTTCACCTTTCTAGGAAACCAAGCATACCATTCCCGTGTATCACGCAACGATAATTCGCAATGAAATCGACACAGTGTTAAAATAAGTACGAAAGTACTTTTGGCAATATGTTACATCGAAGTTTGAGCCAAGTATAGAAATTATGAAAGACTAATTACATGTAAGCATTTGTAGATACTAAAATAAAAAAAAGTCATTGAACATGTATGCCGTTGACAATAAAGTATTCACTTAAATAACCAGTAGTTCCTGTGAAACATTTCCATACTGAGGCTCAAATGCTCTTTAATTTTAATACTGAATTGAAATTATAATGTAACAAATAAATATATTGACTGCCAATCAATTAAAGATAAAAAAAAAAAAAATCAAAAGTTGTAAATCTTAACTACTTAGTAACACGTTAATTGTGTATAACCCCAGCCTATAGTTAGATGCCAATAATTAATTTCAAATACCAGTGCAAGATGTTCTGCAGACAATTTTTATTTCACTTATGGAAGTGAACTTCAAAATGTGCACTGCCGTAAAAAAAAAGCCTAATAACGTTTTCAGTTTAAAAAAAGGAAAACATGAAAATCTTCACTCATACAATTCATCGGAGTTAAACCTTTATGTAGGTATGAAAAGATGTGGTATGCGTGCCAATGGGACAACTCTCCATTTAGTCTTTATGTGGAAATTATGGACAGACAAATCTTTAAAAATCTGTCTACAAAAAAGTGTACGGTTCAATAATGTAGTTTTTTTGGATCGATTAATGATATTGTTCATACAATTAAATATTGGTACCATTTAACCAGTTGTGTTTATAAAAACTCTGATGTTAATGGCTTATAATTATTGCAAAACAAATATTTATATTCTGGATATTTTTTCCTTCAGAGGAAACAGAATTTTAGACATAGGTACAAGACATGCAGTTCAGATTTAAATCTCTACCATGATAAACAAATTGACATTCAGATTATTTTCTTGTTGGACCCTTTTATAACTGATTATACGGTATGGGTTTATCTCATTGTTGTTCATCCGCTACAAGTTACAATAATTAAGTTTTAATGTTTAATCAGTTGGCATATTTTTTACAGTTTTGAGCTCAGTATTTTGCGGAATAATGTGTTTCTTATGAGTGTAACAGATCATTGTTGGTATCAAAAAGATATTTTCCTGTAAGTATTACTAGTTTCTGTTTTTTCCTACTTGTAAGAGTTATACATGTACATGTATAGGTTTAATAGCAATGTGGGAAACAAACAAATACACCTAAATATTTAAAAAAAATGTTTTCACATGTTCCAATACAAACTTTTATAATGAACATGAACCGAAAAAAAACCATACCCAAGTCGAAACGATTTCGGAAATACCGTTGGTCAGACATAACCATCAAATTCGGAAACCAAGTATACATTAATATGTTTGGGTTGCTTTTTCTTTTTCTGAACAAATGGTGACAGGTAGAAACATATACCACAGATCTCCTACGGAATCAAAGAGGGGCGAAAGATACCAGAGGGACAGTCAAATTCATAGATCGAAAATAAACTGACAATGCCATGGCTAAAAAGTAAAAAGACAAACAGACAAATAATAGTACACAAGACACAACATAGAAAACTAAAGACTAAGCAGCACGAACTCCACCCAAAACTGGGGTGATCTCAGGTTCTCCGGAAGGGTAAGCAGATCATGCTCCACATGTGGCTCCCGTCGTGTTTCTCATGTTATTACAAACCCGGTAAAAAGTCTAATTCGGTAGGTCACATTCGTGGTGAAAAGGGAAGTGGATTGTAGTTACGACATAAGGAACATATCCGAAATCATCTGTGAAACGGTCATTTCATAACGGTCAACCAACTCGTGATGGCGTCCGTAAAATTTACGAAGGGATGATTTATATATGTGGCCCATATAACTTGAGCATTCACTGTATGAATTTCAATTAATACCACTATGCATCCTTAAATACGGTTGATTGTTTAAATCAGAATCAGCTGCTAGGTAAAAACAAATTACAATAATTCCAATGTGCGCGACTCGTGTTTGTATTTATCCTTCAATATGCTTGAATTAGGAATACTGGAAACCTAAGCAATTCTATGTGTACATCAAAACTGTGAGTCCTTAACTAAAGAACCAAACTGTCCAAGTTCCAGTTTACCGAAAACAATTGCATAACTGGTAACGTCCGTTGTATATTCGATTCATAATTTAATCGAAATAAAAATGTACGGATGTATTCTGTTCAGCATTTCATCATAGAATAAAATTGAGAATGGAAATTGGGAATGTGTCAAAGAGACAACCACCCTATTAAAGAGCAGAAAACAGCCGAAGGCCACCAATGGGTCTCCAATGCAGCGAGAAACTCCCACACCCGGAGGCGTGCTTCAGGCGGCCACTACAAAAAAATGTATACTAGTTCAGTGATAATGGACGTCATACTAAACTCCGAAATATACACAAGAAACTTAAATTAAAATCATACAAAACTAACAAAGCCAGAGGCTCCTGACTTGGGACGGGCGAAAAAATGCGACGGAGTCAAACATGTTTTTTGAGATATCAACCCTCTCCCGTTACCTTTAGCCAAAAACCTGCAGAAAAAACGAACACACAACAATACGCACAGTAAAACTCAGTTCAAAAGAAGTCCGAGTCCGATGTCAGAATAGGTAACAAAAGAAACTAAACAAAATGACAATGATACATAAATTAACAAAGGACTACCAGCAGTTACTGACATGCAAGCTCCAAACCTCAATTAAACTGATTGAAAGATTATGTCTTCATCATATGAATATTAAGTACAATCCCTCCCGTTACGGGTTTAGTATTATACCATCATAAAATATATTAGAAGAACATAACCCGTATTATGTCAACAACTTGTTTTAGAATAAATGTGTTTATTTCCGATGCAAAGACCCTATAAGCGAATCAATATTAAAGCCAAAATATGCAATCTTTAATGACCTGACAACAGTATCGTAACTATATCCCTTCTTAATAAGTCTGTTTTAAGGTTTTGTTAGATTTTGAGGTGAATGCCGACATTGTTGTACTTTGTAAAGAATGTTACCATAAAAAATTGGTTGTGAAATACCTGAACGTATGAGATGTCTGCATGCTGAATTATATTTACGAATGATGTCCTTGTACCTATGATAAAATTTAGTAAATGTTTTGACTAGTTTGTGATATCGAAAACCCTGGTATAATAATTTTTCAGTAATACACAAATTTCTCTCGCTAAAATCTTATACGTTGTTTCATACACGAGCGAATCTTACAAGTTGAGATATATAAACACCATAAGATGGTGACAAGGGAACGTCACCATTTAAAAATGAATAATAACGATAGGAAATAAAAAATCATCTCTTTTATCATAAATTTTGGTATTGAGTTTCCCGTTAGTGATATAAATATCAAGATCGAGGAAAGGGCAGTGTTCATTATTAGTATTAGCTTTATTTAAAGTTAATTCAACAGGATAAATTTATTTAGAATACATACTGAAGTCGTCATTATTGAGAGCCAATATAACATTCAAATATCAAAAAGCATTGTTACATTTTTGTATCAGATGTTGTTTCGATGCGTCTTTGCTGATTTTAGTCATAAATTGTAATTCATAACAATACAGAAACAAGTCCGCAATAAGTGGTGCACAGTTAGTCCCCATTAGAATTTCGATAATTTGACGATATACGGAATCTCCAAAGCGAACAAAAATGCTATCTAATAAAAAATCAAGGGAAGTTATAGTATCAAAGCATGTCCAATTGACATAGTTCTTTTGTTTGTTGTTACTAAAAATGACCTAAAAAACTTATGTATTCGCATTTTGACTTTTTAAATGCCCATTTAATTAAATGTGTGAACTTTTTCTTAATAAGAATATGAGGCAAAGTGGTATATAGGGTAGAAAAATCAAAACTTTGAACTGATTCAAAATCACCAATATAAGCATGCATTCAGATAACCACATCAGATAGAAAAAAATATCTTATATATATGGTATATGATTTACACTTACATACTTTGATATCTTTACAGGGTCAACATAGCTGATAGTTTTGAAAAAAAATCTGAAGCTTCTGGAATACCTGTGATCAATCATGTGTGTCGAACTGCTCAACATTGATTTTTTATGTCTAATTTTAATGCATTCTTCTTTAATATGTCCATTGTAATTTTTAAATTGTAGTATTTGTTGTATTTTATAGGTTGTGATTTAGTAAAATAAAAAAAAACCAAAAGGAATGATACATGTAGCTATGTTTAACAACATTACGAGAACTGTCTTTTTCAAATTTCTTTCGTAGATAGTTAGAACTCATAAGAAATGAATATCATATACCAAAACAATTGAATGGTATCAAATCCGATGTGGTTCACTGGACAATGTTACTTGCACATATAAATATGATAGTATGACTGCAGCAGTATTTATTTTCAGCTTATGGAATTCATTGCTTTAGACAATTAATATTTAGTTTGTTTTTCAAAAGAAACTATCAAATACCTTACATTTTACATTTATGTTCGGCAAGTTGCGTTGCAAGTAGGAATTGTATTGGTATGTTTTTATGTTGATAACTATATGCAGAACATTACCACAAATTTCTTTATAAATTTACTCAATGCTTTAATAGATACAAAAAATATTGTTTCGATTGTAAGCTGTAGAAAACTTATTACAAACGATATAACGCATCCATAACTTTACGGTGATATTGTCCATAGGGCCCTTTAATGTAGATGCGATCCATGTAAACTTATTTATCCTGATGTAGAGAATTTCTCGCAATTTGATTGGCTGATATTTTCCTAATAAATTTCAGTACAATTTTTTATTACGTCAGTTGGAATTTTCTCCCTTATACCATTGACCTAATAAAAATAGTTGCTTTATAGTCCTAATATTTTTCATTTTTCACAGTTTTAGATTAAACATCTAGATATATTTGGTTGATATTGTCCTAGTAATTGAATTTGAATATAATAATTTGTTATATAACCTGAAAACTACTTCACTTAACATAATAATACAATAAACACATGGGTACATACAGTTGAGTGCAGACCAAGCATTACATAAAGTAAACGCAAGTTAACGCCGCGTGCACATATTTCGTTAGTTAACTTCAATTTTCTCGTTTACTATTAAACGCACGTTTACTATAATTACGTTAACGCGATCAAAATGGAAATTTCTAATGTCTACCCGAGTAAACGGGCATTTACTCTGTGTCCGTTTAGTCGGTAGTAAACGGGCGTTTACTTCAGATTCCACAAGTTTATTTTTACGTGGACTTAAAAGTAAACGGGCGTTTACTACAGATTTCACAAGTGCACTTGAAAGTAAACGCGCGTTTACTTTTCGCGCTGACTGATTGTGTAAATTAAGAAATAAACTTCGTGTTCATTTGTACATTTATTTTAATTAAAACGACTTGTATCTTAATATTTAACGTACAAGTGTTTCAAACCAGAACAATTCAAAAACACATTTAATTCGAAATATTAACTTTTATGAATTACAAAAAATCAGTACCAATAATTTTGCTGAGTAGCAGATTTTCTATATTTTCTTTTCAAATATCGAGGCGGATAGAAAGGTTATCCAACACATCGGAAAAATATTTGTATATGATAGGATATAAATATCATGGTTTACGTTGCTTCGTTCCCCATTTTTTACAGTCTCTTCCTAAATATAACTCTATGTATTTAATACATGGATTTTTAATCGTAATTCACCTTGTTTGCCTTGGATTTACATGATTTAAGATTCTGTTTTGCCAAATGTTCAATCGAAAATTGTACAGTGTATATATAGGGATATTGATAAGGTGTTGTATAAGTATGTACATTTGTACCATCTCGTCAATTTAGACAGATTTATCCATAACGATTATAAATGATATCTGGGACGTCCGAAAAATATACTCGTTCTGAACATGAAAAAAATATTTGCCCCTGGACAGTTTGCTGGACGTTAGGCTACAAACGAAATCAATCGACCGCCATAACATATTAACAGTACACTATTCCAAGAAGAGAACTTCTCATACTTTTCATTATAAATTACTTTCATCAGTCATGTCAGTGTTGGATGATGCCGTTAAACGTGTTAAATATTATAGTTTTGTGGGTTACACTAAAGACCTGAACATGGACCTGAATAGACCTGAAGATATACTATTCGATTTATTCAAATTACAATAACTTCTTTATTTTTATTTTCCAATGGATTTTCTTGAAGCTAGTATTTTATTAAAGGTAAATTTCCACATTTTATTAGAAATAAAATGTTTCCAATAACAAACCTGGACCTGAACGAAGACATGAAAAGACCTGAACGGACCTGAAAATCTATGGTCGGACTTATTCAAACTCCAATAACTTTTTAAATATTCAATGGATTTCCTTCAACTTTAGATTTTGTAAAATGAACATTCAACATTTTGTTAAAATGAAAAAATAGATAATGAAAAATATGGTTTGGGTGTCAAAACTCGGACCTGCACGGAGAATTAAAAACCTGAATTGACATAATTTTCCACCTATAAATGTTTTTTCAAACTTCATTTTCTTTTTTATCAAAGAATTTCTTTGAAATCAAAATTTTATTATAGTACAAATTGAATATTTTACCAAATCGAAAAAAAAACAAATTAATGACAAATATTATTTTGGTGACAAGACTTGGACCTGAACGGATAATTGAAAGACATGAATAAACCTGAAAATACATTCTTGAAGGCCGTACGGTGACCTATATTTGTTAACGTCTATGTCGTTTGGTCTCTTTTGAGAGTTGTCTCATTTGCAATCATACCACATCTTTTTTTTTATATTGTCTGTTTGTGACAAAACTCAGACCTGAATAAAAAGACCTGAATAGACCATTTTATATTTATTTAAATCCAAAATAGCTTATAAAACATTTGAATTTTCATTCAAGAAGAGCCAAAAGAAACTTGCGAAAAAAATATTTAATTTTAGTGAATTAGCTAAAAATGAGCAGTTGTAAAAGTTTATAGTAAAATTTATAACTGAGCAATGTTTAGGTCGTGTAACAAGATCAAATGATAATCCAATTAAAAGATTAAAATGAAATGTTTATTTGGACAATGATCCAATTATCACATAATACAAGGTGTGAATTACAGCCATCTTCGCTAGCCAAGGGTTACGATCCCCTTCCTTCCTCTCCACCCTTGGCAGATTAAACCAACATTTGTGATAACAATGTTGCGCCATCTATCGGTAGATTAAAGTCACGCCCATTCCGAAAAAATTATTCTTGACCAATGGTAGCACTTGAACTCTTCAATTTGGAGGTAAAAACACGGTAGCGTCTAGATTCTACACACTTGGTAAAGCAGGAAAGGAAAATATACGTTGACATTCATGCATTTGTGCAAGAAACATACACAGGAACTTCTATTAATTGATTAAAAACATTCAAATTGTCACTAAATATGGTCGTATGTTTAGGGATGTAAAGACTTGTTGCACAATAAGCACGTGCCAATTGTTTGCATACACTTTCTACATTTACACGTGATCATAATATATGCGCGTTTTGATTGGATGCAGCGAGTTTCGACTGCAACCAATGAAAATCATTACCTTGTGTCTCCGAAATTCTATCTCAATCCGCTAAGGGTGGAGAGGAGGGAAGTGGATCGTAACCCTTGGCTAGCGAAGATGGAATTACAGCCGGCACACGTTCATGTAAATAATACATTCCAATCGACGAACACACGTCTTAAGATTACATGGTTTATGTGCAAATGATACTTTTATTTTCAATATATGAATATAACAGTTTAAAACCTGTTTTTATAGATGTTTATATAAATACAATTTAAGGAAGTTAATTAGTTTGAATAATTTTCCACGGACATTCCTGTTTTCCCTTTAGGTCCAGGTTTCAACTGAACATGAACATGGTTTTTATCATTTAAAAAAAATCCTGTATATATATAAAATCAGTCTTTCTCTTTAATATAATTTAATTTAGAATAAAATCAATGGAAAAATAAAAAAAGTTATGTCAGTTTAAATACATCTACTCGTATTTTTCAGGTCCATTCAGGTCTTTTTATTTCCCCGTTAAGGTCCGATTTTTGGAACTAAACAAATATTTTTATAAAATTCTTTATCATTTCAATAAAATATTATACATTTTTATTACAAAATTCAAATTTCAAGAAGATTGATTGAAAACTAAAACAGTTATAGAACTTAAATGAATTTGACCGGAGATTTTAAGGTCAATTCAGGTGATTTAATTTCCCGTTCAGGTCCGAGTTTTGACACCTCAAAAATATTTTTCAAAATTTCTTTTTAAATATTATTAATATATTGAATTTTTCGTTTCACAAAATCTAAAATTGAAGGAAATCCATTGAAAAATAAAACAGTTATTTAAGTTTGAATAAGTCTGATCGTAGAATTTCAGGTCCGTTCAGGTCTTTTCATTTCTCCGTTTAGGTCCGAATTTTGGAATCAACCAATTTGTTTTGTATTTAAAACATTTTGATTTTAATATCATGTGGATCGTTACCTTTAATAAAATTCTAACTTGAAGAAAATTCTTTGAAAAATAAGAAAGGAATTGTAATTTGAATAAATCTAGTAGTATATCTTCAGGTCTATTCAGGTCTTTTCAGGTCCACATTCAGGTCACAAAAGAGAGCAAATATGGTCAGTTTTGGTTGATGATGTGAAATAATTTTGTTATCAAGTCAGTCTGAGATATGAAAACTACTGATATTTGTTTACGATTCAATATGTTCAATAAAAAGGGAACATTATGCCACTATAAATTGATGCAAACAAAATTTTGTAGTCATTTTTTTCAAATATGGCTATCATTTGTATTCTACAATCCATCCTCACAAAAAAATATTACTGATTTACTATGTAACTATAAGATTTACATAAAAAAGAGCAAATAAGGTCAGTTTTGGTTGATGCGGAAAAATAATTTTGTTTTACGAGTCAGTCATAGGTATGAAAATTACTGATATTTGTTTACGATTAACTGTTTTGAATAAAAAGAGGACATACTAGCATTATAAATTGATGCGAACAAAATTTTGTAGTCAATGTGATCTAATGTTGCTGTAATTTGTATTGTACAGTACCTCCTGACCTGAAAATAGAACTGAATTACTGTGCAACTATATATATTTACTTGATAAAGTGCAAATATAGTCAGTTTTGGTTGATGTGGACAAACATTTTTGTTATACTAGTCAGTCTGAGGTATGAAAACTACTGATATTTTTTTACGATTCAGTATTTTCAACAAATGAGGACATGCTGGCACTTTAAATTAATGGGAACAAAATTTTTTAGTCATTGTTTTCCAATATTGCTGTCATTTGTATTATACAATCCATCCTGATATAAAAATATAACTGATTTACTATGCAGCTATTAAGTACCTGTCTTTGTAAAAATCATGCAGAGGGTGATTCGTGACATGTCACAGAAGTAATTTTTTTGGCCCTATATCATAAGAACTTTGGTAGATAAGTAAAATTCTGTCTTTATTTTCCCTGTATATTGCTCGTTACCATGGTAACCATCAAAACAACATTTTGTCTGAATATGAGAAAAAAGACCCTTTTGAATATTTAAAATAAGGGAATTTAAAGTCCCATGGAAATTAAGTTAATCAATAAAACCAATTAGGGTTTTTACATTGTTAATAAACAAAACCACAAACTATTCAAAAACGTTAAAATTTTGAATTTACCAAATAGTTTGTTTCCATAGCAACCATTTAAAAATGTGTTAAAATTCGAAAATGAAAAATTTCAAAAACTCCTAAATTTTAAATCTGTTTATCTCCCAAGACCAACAATACCATGACATTTCATTGACAAATTTTGAAAGAC